AGTCTACTTGTCATAACCCTTTACCTCCACACAGCTTTCCTGTGCACAGTTCTCATCATATTCTCTAGGTCAGGAGTGGTTTTGGAGCTAATTGTGCACCCATCTGAGTGCTCGGTGTGTCTACTTCAGGTATCACAAGATCTCTTCAAAGAGCCATAACCAGACTAGTAAATGTGAGCTCAAGATGTGCCAAGGAGAGCAAAGACCAGCTAAATAAACCCTGAGCTGCACTCAGGCTTGCTTAAAGAGGCAACATAATATTCTCTAGGTCAGGAGTGGTTTTGGAGCTAATTGTGCACCCATCTGAGTGCTCGGTGTGTCTACTTCAGGTATCACAAGATCTCTTCAAAGAGCCATAACCAGACTAGTAAATGTGAGCTCAAGATGTGCCAAGGAGAGCAAAGACCAGCTAAATAAACCCTGAGCTGCACTCAGGCTTGCTTAAAGAGGCAACATACGTGGGAAACATAGTGCTTATCTTGATTACATACTTAATGGCAAATATATGTCTGGATGGTGGAAAAGAAACAATTCCTTATGGCAGGGGGCACAGAATAGATAGAGAACAGCATTGTAGGATGTGGCTATGTCTACACCGTGGTTTTTTTTGTGGAAGACAATATGCAAGTGGCACACTCATTTGCATATCTTCTTCCAATTCTTTTTATGGAAGAGGTTTTTCCATTAAAAAGCCCCATATAGATGGGGCCATTTGTCAGAAAAAACCCTTTTTCACATGATCCCTTATTCTTCAAAAATCGAGGTTTACAGGAACTTGCGAAAAATGTGGGTTTTTCGGACAAATGGCCCCGTCTACATGGAGCTTTTAGTAGCAAATCCTCTTCCACAAAAAGAATTGGAAGAAGATACGCGAATGAGCAGGGCTCACCGAACCGTGGCGAGCCCCACTCGCCAGCCGTGCTGTCCACCGATCTGCGCATGTGCAGATCATTCTGCACATGCACAGATTGCCTGAACCTGGCTCTTCTGGGTTACAATCTACTCGCCGTGGGTGAGCAGATCGTATAATTTGTCGAGCCCTGCAAATGAACACGCCATTTGCATATCCTCTTGTAGTCGGCAAGAGTAAGTCTCTGGTCCAACACTGGGTTCCCAAAGTACAAAGGATGCCACACAGGTATCTGTCAAGCACAAACAGTTTATTTCTTGACAGCTAACAGCTGTGCCCCATAGATGGAAGAACAACATAACAAAGAAAGCAGCATATCTTACGTCCCTTCCTGCAAGCCTGGTACCCCGGGTAGGCTGCGGACGAAGTGGGAGGTTGTCTCAGTTTCCAAGGCGCTGGTACCCAAAGCTCATCGGCGAAGTCTGATTTGCTAGGCTCTGAGACAGCCTTAAATACAATTTTCCTGCCTTGTTTGGCAGTTTGGAAATTTCCAGGGCTTACTCTTTAGTGCTGATGTAGAGCTTAGCTGTTAGTTATCGATCTGGTTCTGATCTAGTTCTTCTTGTCCTTTGGTCCTGTTTACATGATCAGTACTTTAGGGTAAACAGAGTTGTTTATGTGTTCTTGTCCTTTAACCTTATCTTATACTTGTTCTTGCTATACTGGCAACAATGCTTATCTTAAGTGGCGTATGTTCCCAAAGACTTGCTTCTGGCTCATCAGATATAGGGGAAAGGGAAAAGGGAGAAGGAATGCAGGCCTCACCACCCCTAAACTATTATGTACAAAATTCTTCCACAATTGACCACTACACCTCTTCTGCAAAAATTTACCTCAGTGTAGACATAACCTGAATGTGGATCAGTATAGCTGGAACATTTTTGTTTTCTCATTCACAGAAATAGAACAGTAAGACTGGTTACCTGGCTGCAATCAGAAGTGGTAAAGACTTGATCCCAAGCTCTGCTCTGCTTTTTCTCTGGTTGTATCAGAATATGTACAATGCAGAGTGAATTTTATGTGTGGACATAAGGCACTGCTGAGACAAGGAGTTGACAGTATTGATTGTAACAACCCCTCTTTTCCTAGCATGGACAAAGACCAGTACTCCACTTCTCATTTTCCTTCCCTCTAAATCTCTTTAGCTATTCGAGCTTCACCCCACCTTTTGCCATAACATTCACAAGAGTCACAGCAGAATCTTCACATCTGAACCAGGCAATTAAAAATACAATAAAATCTAACAACATATCCTGTAAAGAAAAATTCAGAACTAACAAAAGTTATGGAGTGCCACAGATGACAACAAACTCAACAAGAAGAATGGAAACTGCAGGCTGCCTTCCTACTCTATGTTTACACATGGCCTCCTAAAAGAGCTGCCCAATATCTACTGGGGCCTCTTAGGGTATGTCTAGACTGCATCCTCTGTCAGCAGAGGGATGCAGATTAGGGACGGTGACATTGCAAATGAGGCAGGGATTTAAATATCTCGTGCCTAATTTGCATAAAAATGGCCACCACGTTTTGCCAACTCAGCACTTTGTTGGCAAAAAGCAGCAGTCTAGAAGGGGATATGTCGCGAAAGAAAGCCTTTTTCGACAGATCCCTTATGCTACGTTATTGGGCACCTGTGAGGAGGCATAAGGGATCTGTCGAAAAAGGCTTTCTTTCGCGACATATCCCCTTCTAGACTGCTGCTTTTTGCCAACAAAGTGCTGAGTTGGCAAAACGTGGTGGCCATTTTTATGCAAATTAGGCACAGGATATTTAAACCCCTGCCTCATTGCAATGTCACCCTGCCTAATCTGCATCCCTCTGCCGACAGAGGGATACAGTCTAGACATACCGTTAATGTTACTGTAATAATCATAGGCTTGGTCTACACTAGACCAGGCAGACAGCTTAAGGTACGACATCCAGCTATGCAAAATGCATAGCTGAAGTTGGCTTACCTTAAGCTAAGCCACCACAGTGTCAATAATGTGGCAGTCTGACAGAATCACATACTCCCATCAGCTTCCATTACTCCTCACAGAGTGGGGCATACAGGATGCCAGCGGGTGCTGCCCTCCTCATTCAATTTGGGGGGGGGGGTCTACCCTAAATCTGAAAAATTGAATGCTAGATCAACCTCCGGAAGGTAAATCTTCCCCGTAGTGTATACATACCCAAAGTTGTTGTTGTTATTATTTATTATTAAATGGGATTTTTCTTCTGTTTTATATACCAAATGTGCAGAGCCAAACACTGCTCTCATTTATACCCAGATAGTTCCAATGATGTCAGTGGCGTTGCCAGACGAGTAATGTAGATGTGGTGGCATGTGCTTCAGCCTGGGCTACCTCCTCAGGATAAAATGACTAGGGAGGCTGGATTGCTCACCTGTGCTGATGTCCATGCTGTCACACATGGATTACTGTTACCTGGGCTAGCTAGATTAAACTAATTTTGGTGTGCTTACCTTACAACTTTGCCTGCAGTATAGAAAAATGCTGGGTGTTATATTAAGTTTTGCATGGTTATCTCTATGAACAAACCTTGTAATATAATATGAATTTCACTGATTAAAGTGATGTACAATGTGTATACTAATATATGCAGATACCATCACACTACAGAAGATAATGGATTGTAAGAGTGTACTGAATACACACCAGTAATTTGCAGCAATAAACAGACAAGAGTTATCCACAGTTACAACATTCCTAGCATCTCCAATGCAATAATTATTTTGTATTCTAAGTACTGCAATGTACTGCAGTATCTGATATGCCAGAAATTGATAACTGTTGCTAAATGATAACTTTTTAATGAGTAACATATGTATTTAAAATATGATACTCTTCCTAATTCTGCATATCTACAGACATCTTATGCAGCTCATGAAGATTGTTACCGCTGAAAACAGTTGTGCAAATTGACCCACTAAAAACAAGCATAGATTGAATTTATTTATTAATTTACAATGTACCCACCTAAAAACATCATCTGGGATCCTGTATGCAATAAACAAAAATTAAACCAAACTGGGCTAAATGCCCAGAAAAGAAAAAGGCATACCAATAAAAATGGAAGATGGGGAAAAACTGTTCCAAAAATATATAAGCTTGTCTCCTGATGTTCTACCATGTTAGTGGTCATACCACAATGTTATCCTGTAAGTAACACCTTCCAGTTACATTACACAGCAAGGCTACAAATATGTGGATAAAAATGGATAATTTTAGCAGAATTCATTTACAGCAATGGCAAGCCAAGGTACAGGACAATTATAGCTGAGAAAATACAATGCATATTAATTTTGAATGAAGGCTGAGTGTACATGCTGTCATACTCTGCCTATATTTTAGCTGAAGCTGCTGATCATATTCTGCTTTACTTACTTTCTTTTTTTACATATACAATATGTAAGCAATGAGAAAACAAGAGAACATGCCCCAAACACTTTTGTGAGGGACCAATGGTGACTATTCCCTCAAACATACCATACTTGTATTCTATTACTGTCCTCCATTCCATATTTTATTTATAAAACATCAGGGTTTTTAATCCTTTTTAAAATTTTGATGACTTAGATGAATAATGATGAGAAGGCTGTCTAAATATGGAGCTACGCCTAGGAAATGCTTCTGAGGTCTACAGAGAGCGGACGCCATAAAGAAATACATTTTTATTTTTAAATGGCTCAAAGTCCAGGACACAGCTTAACATGATTTTAATTGTGTGTCATCTCCTGGCTCTGACTTTCTGTTTATGGATATGTTATTTTATCCCAGTCATCTTATATAAGCTTGTCATCTCTGTCCTCTTCTACCTCTATCCCTCACAGAAAAGCCCCGTATCAGCCCCAAGTGTGACACATGGAAATTTTCATGTTTTTTCACAGCAGATACCCTTCCCCACTCATTACATTGTGACCTATTCTCTACACTCATCTTCTACTGAAGCAACCTCCCACTTGAGACCAATCACAACATTTGCACCATGCTCAGGTTCCCATAGTCTAAGAAATGAGATTCCAGAATCAAATTTCAAGGCCCGGTCTCAGTCACAGCAGGGTATAGTACTGTTGTCATGTGACTTAGTCTTGCAGTTTGATCCACTTAATTAGTAGGGGATTTTTTACTGAATGTAAGTAGCAGAACAATGCTATTAGAAACCTCAGGCACACAGATACCTCTGTTCTAGAGTAAATGTGTAAACAGCTGAACCAGAGGGAAAAATATAAATAAAAGACCTGCAAACTGAGGGTGGATAGTAATCAATATGATCTGACTTAACTCAATTCAATCATTTTATATTGAATAAGATCTTAATATACTAAGAAAGATAATTTCCTAGTACAAATTGTGTTGCCACAGTTGAAAAAGAACAAAATGGTTTGAAGTATATTACTCAGAAAGGATTGTTTTCAATATCTTTCCGCTTCATTTATCATTTAAAAATAGGCTAGATCTTGTAACAAATAGAATTAATCACTTAAAAGCTTAGTATAAAGGAATTTGAAACTCCATTATTGTTATTAATTATTATTATTACTATTATTAAAGGATTGTTCAAATTATTACATGGGAAATTAAGGCAAAATTTTGACACTTCTGAATAGTATTTTCACAGTTAAGGTTACCTTATGTTTAAAATATCTATAGCTATCTAAATATTTTTATCAAGTATTGGGTATGCCACATTACATCTTCAGAAACAAAGAGATTCTTTCATGTATATTTGTATTTGTGTACACACACACACACACACACACACACACACACACACACACACACAGATGATAATTTAAATAAACCATCAAAAATATATAAAAGTGTCAGTGGAAATTCCCCTTACAAGCAAACATTTGATCATAGACATCTGACTATCTTTCCCCTTTTGTTTGTTGATTAGAATCCCCTTGATTACAAGCAGAGCTGATAGCATTGATTATTTTTAACAGAGCTGTCCTTACCCATATGCAGAATACGCAGTTGGGGAAGGCATCTGGAAATTTGGGGGCACTACTGGGTCTTAACATCCACCGAACTGCCTTTTCCTATCTTTGTACTACGGCTCTGCTTCCTCCAGAGAGGATCTAGTTAACTTAAAAGTGAAAAAGCCTGCCAGATCTATTAACAGAACATTGGACCTATGAAAAGTCCATTCAAGTGGTAATGAAGCCATTTAAAAGGCATTTGCCAACCACAGGTATATACTGTCAGTTTAACTAGTTGGCAGATTACAAAGCCAATTTCTCCTGACAGTATGTATTTTATAGCACTGCATAGTGGCCTGTACATCCTAAGGAAAACCCTGATTATTAAGATTGACCAGTACTTCTAATATAACACTATTTGCATTTGTTTAGAACTTTTCCAAACTTCAGCTTTTCAGGATGAAATTTTCCATGCCATGTGTCTG